TTTAAAGTTGGGCGTTAAAAGCTGCGTGCGCGACTGTTTTGTGGCTCCCAAACAACAACAACAGGGTTTTGTTGATTAATAATAATGTCTAACTGCAGAATGAAGCGCAAATTAATCATTTTTGTTCCCTGGGGAAACATTTTAGGATCCTGTGGACTCATAAACTGTAGAACAGGGAGGTAATGTATATTTCAGAACTGCCTCATCTAAAAGGTAAATTCAACATTGGTTTGCGTTTCCATGGAAGTAGTTTAATCAGCAGTATTCAGTCTGGATGTCTGTTTATGTGGGATGGATTTATTTATAGATTTTATTACAAAAGATGGTATATACACCGATCAGCCAAAACATTAAAACCAGGGAAGTGAATGATCATTTCGTTGCAGTGCAATGTTCTGCTGGGAAACCCTGCATCCAGGCATTTATGTGGGTGTTTTTTTTAACACGTACCACCCACCTAAACCTTCTCGCAGACCAAACGCTTTGGCAACAGCACTCCCCAATGCCAGCGCACGCTGCAAACAACGACTCAGAAACAGTTTTAGGAACAAGAGCCCCAGCTTCCAAACTGCCCAGATCTCAATCTGACTGTGCATCCACGTGATGAACCGGAACAAGCCTGACTCATGGAAGCACCACAAACAAGTGACGACATCCCGATGCCCGACACCACAGGACACCCATTGAGGTCAAGTGTCTATGCCCTAACAGGTAAGAGCTGTTTTGGCAGCTGTACGACACAATATTATGTCATGTTCTGTCTGTTTGGAGGTATTGAGGTTCACCATTCCCTTTATATTGACATGTTCAACAATAACAGAGGCTAAAAAACACCCTTTTGGTTTAACTGTTGTGTGTCACAGCTCTGGGCTGTTGTGTTGCTGTTAGTGGGATTAACCTCTTCATGTTTCTGCATGTCAATTTCTACGTGTGAGTCCCTGCAGCAGACTGGCGGCTGCATCCAGACCCTCTTGCATCTCCTTCCCGTGCTGCCTCGTCCATCTGCTCGCCTGATTGAACCAACGCTGCAACACACCTCCAATTAAGCCACATCCGTCTGTAACACCTGTTTGTCTCTCGGTACAGGTAATTGTGAATCTGACACATTAGTTTCATAAGCGGAGGTTGGCTGAGAGTAGGCGCTCGTGTTTGTGTTAAAGCTATTTTAAGCTGGTGGGAAGAAAAAGTGTTAGACTTGTAGATGTGTTTGTACTTTTGTTCTGGAAAGAGTAGGTGAAATAAGTAAAACTTTTACTTTTGAAGCTTTTATTTTGGTAAAACAGAAGAGGTAGGTGTTCTAACTTCTGGTAGAAGGCCATCTTTGGTTATATTTTTTTATTCTGGTAGCATCCTCTGTCCCTTTTCTTTTGTGAGCTATGCTAATTACCTGCATTCAACTTTTTATGTAAATTTTATCTTCTTGGGTTAAACAGCATCTACCTGGCTGTTGTCGCTTCCCTTTTCCTCCCAGCTTGGATGCAACATTTGTGCATATATTATGTTTGTGTATGTGGTGCTGACCGAAAATGTAAGTAGCTTTTTTGCATCTACACCATTTTGCATATATTCAAATCCTCGCCTGACGCGGTTCGAGAAGTTCATCGTGTCAGTTCAAAGGAACACATTTAATTGCACAACATAAAGCATCCAAGTAAAAACACCAAGAAAAGATCTTTCATTGTCTCCACACAGCACAGCAGCAGCTTTCTGCAGCCTGCACACACTCAAATAGCACTAAAACCACCACGTAGTGATGTGGTTTTTTGCTTTTTCTTTTTGGACTGAAAGGCTTTTGTTATGGTTTTTGCAGTGGCTGTGAGGGGATTCTGTCTGGGCGTCACGTGACCTGCAGTTTTCGATGGTGGCTATTGCAGCAAATTGCCAGACAGCCAGACACTATCCGAGCTTCAGATTTTAGTCCTGCTGAATCATCACAGTTAAACATTGCTCTGTTTTCTTCCAAGTATCTGTAACCAAAGAAGCCTTAGAGGATTACTTAATGCACTGGCAGCATCCTCTCTTTCACGAAGACTCTCATGCGCGCGCTCATCGTCTAACATACTCAGCAGAGCACTCGGTGACAGGACAGCAAATCCAAACAGGAGAGAAATAATCACAGGAGGGGAAAGAGCAGTGTAATAACAAGCTGTAAGATCTGACCTCTGATAGTTTCAGAGTGAGAATGAAAAAATGGAGCTTGATGGATTATATTTCTAATCACTCAGGAGAAGGTTGGATAAATGATTTCATTAGGGTTGTCTGAGGATGTTAAGAGTAAAGGTGCAGAAACAGCCCAAAACCAGGAGCTGGCACAAATACCGGACACGTGAATGGCCCTCAATAGCAGCTGTGTGTAATTTGACACATTTTAAAGTTTACATTATTATCTCGGGCCTTGTTCATAATAATAGGGATATTATTTAAATTAACATTTTCCTCTACATTCTGGCCTCTCATTCACACATAAATGGGATTTTAGGTCACTCAAATGGAGATTTTTTTATTTATTTATTTTTTTTAAACCTTGTTAGGTGCAGACTTTTACATTATGTAAAGCTAAGTTTGGGGAAAGATGACATCATACCTCAATTTGCACATGTTCATTCTTGCTTTGTGTAATGAGCATGTGCCTGAAACAACAACAATGGCAGATACACTGCATGTACCAGTTACTTTGTATTAGGTTGCTGCTTAGCTTCACGCAAAAGGCTCAGAGTTTGGTTCTACATCTACAGTTTAAAGTCCACAGAAATCACAAAAGGACAGGATGTTCTTCTCTTGTGTTTGAGGTATTGTTCATTTTTTGTTACAGCATTTCTAGTCATTTGTAGTCGGGGGGGAAAGATATACACCTGGAGGAATGTCTGTATTCGTGTGAATAAGGCCTTAGTTTACGATGATAGCATAAATTATTTAGGAATGAACTTAAATTGTAGCCGTGGCAGACATATCATTAGTTTTGCCAATTTTTGGTAACAAACCACAGAACTGAACAAAATGACGTTTTGCTTAATGAAACATCACAAAAAATACACAGTTCATGTTGAGGGGAGCATGAAGTCTGCACCAAATTTCATAGCAACCCATCCAATATTTGAGATATTCTGGTTAAAACCAAAAAAAGTGAACCTTATGGTGTTTCTCATGGACATGTTAGGGGAACAAGACACTCAGTAGAAATCATCCTCTGGAGACCATGAACGTCTGCACTCAATGTCCATGTGATCCATGCATTCATGTTGGACCACCTACTGACCAACACTAGCAACTCTCAAGCTACTAAAAGTGGCTAACAGCTAAGCAGGGGAACATATTGTTATTTTTATACTTAATTTGGCAGATTTGATAGTGAAGCCTCATGGAATATGAGGTAAAGGAGACAGGGGAATGATGTACCAGTTTTGGTTGGAACCAAAACAGGGATGTTATGTCATTCATTTTGGCCACTAAACCTCGGGGAAATTTAATAACGTGGCTTAATTGGCTAAGTAATTTTTCAGTAATATCGACATATTGACTTGAGGGGCTCTGGGCCCCAGATCAATAGCTTAGCTGATTAATTATCTGACTAATTGGTTTGTTTCATTATCTGATTATTCTTCCCCCAACAGGGAGCTTTAAAGAATTAGTGCACTGTCAGTATTTTTGCTGACATTTCTGTGGAAAGAGGTCAACGGGTTTCAGTCAGTAAACATGGACCAGAACCACTGGATTCCTTGACAAAACGTAGACAGGCACCGAAAGCAAAATGATCACCCCGAGGGGCATCAGCATCGATTGTTAGACACGCCTTCCTGTTAATGATAAAACATCTGCCTTCTTGCATCCTCACTCTCTCGTCTTTCTCTCACCAACCAAAAATCTATATTCGAACAAACCCTGTGTGCCTCCTCCATAATTTATCACGCCTGTAGATGCAGTTTACATACGCACACTTCTTTGCAGTATCTATAAAACATCTCTCCAGCATAGGCAGAACAAACACCCACACGGCCAGTTTTATTCCCAAAGTCTTCATTCGGAGTGCGGCCCAACTTATGCGGAGTAAAAAAAAAAAACAGCATCCGAAGCAATGCAGTTGATTTAAGAATTCATAGCGCAGATTCGGGCTATGCAGAGCAAGGCAACGCTTGCATCCTCTGCATCCCAATGAGGAGGCTTGTGCTTCAACTCCACATCCCAACTGTAACTGTCCAACACCTCTCTAACCTGGATGGCAGTAAAAAACTCAGCAATCACGCACCACTGACCCGTATGTGTGTAACTGATGCATTATACCTGCCGGTGCCACTTTCCTGCCTTTAGCCTTGAAGCTACAGCTGACAAGGAGGATGAATTACAGAGCCATAATGAGGACTAATTAGGGGGCAAATAATAGCTAAGATAATATTCTAAAGGATAATACCTGAAGGCTTTAAAGGACAAAAGTCTTGTGAAAAAAAAAAATGTTAGTCATACCTCTTGGCAAAACAGCCCTTCTCTATCTCTCTTGCTCGAAAAAGGAGCCTTACGTATTGAGCTCGAGCTCCCATAAATCTGCTGCCGTCCCGAGAAGGTGACATTCTGGAGGGTTTTTCATTTGACAGATGCATTATTATGTGGCTCGACCTAAAACTGCTGCTTCTGCTGCTGTCCTATTTCATCTGCAGCAGTCCTAACCTCATTTGCAGAGACCTCCACGGTGGACCGAGCAGTTTAAAAAAAGAAAGTGTGGAGACTGTCAAGGACTTTGGTCACAATAGGATGCCTTTTTTTTTTTTTTTTTTTTTTAAATAAGCTATTCCCTAAGAGGTCTTAAAAGATGCCTGCAGGAGGACAGAGCGATGACACGTTTAACTGAAGTCAGTAATTTGGTGCAGGATGGATTATCGCAGCCCCCCCAGTGTCTCCCCAACAACTACCCCGGTCAGTGCCGGCACAGTGCTGCTGCCGAGCATCCCTTTAAATCCTGTACACTGCAGTGCTGTTAAATCAACCCTCACGCCGGGCAGACTACTCACCTCCCAGCGCAGCTTTCATTACAAAATTCATGATGAAGCAGTTCTGTGTTCTCTTCCCTCGGTGGTCACGATATCAGGGGTAGACCTGCAGCCAGAGGGGGGACAGAATACACAAGCTGTGACTGCATTAGTACTACTGTTGGGACATGCAGCTTCACTCCAGGGTTGCATAGGCAGGACTTAGATGGGATGGGGGTGGATGATGATGATGATGAAGGATGATGAGGCTCAATGCGGACAGCGTCCAGATGGAGATCTTTGTTTTGGCAAAAGGTGCACTCTACTTTTGCAGAAATCCCAATATCTTCATACACATCACTTCAGTTATACCTCCTATACATTAACAGAAACAGCCCTAAAGTGAGACGCAACTGTATGAGGACAAAAAAAAAAAGGTCGACTAAACTGGGTTGAGACGTCTTTACATTAGTGTCACGCAGTGTCCTGAGGCTGGTTGATGCACCTGCGCCCTGGATTTTACAACCACTCTCCATCTTATGTGGGTTTATGCTGACGCTGCCCGACTCGCCAGCGATGTGTCCTCATGGAAATGACTCCCGGAATCAGAAAAGCAGGCGAACAAAGAAGGGTCAAAGATGAGCAAGTGGTTTGTGTCAGTGCACTGGCCTGAGGGAGCGTCACGAGAAGACAGGGATTTGTAAAAAGATGCTACGACTTAGAGTGCATCTGCTTCTCATTTGTGAGTTTATCTTAGATATTACAACATTTTACTGCCAATGTTATCAATATAAGAGTCATGTATTGGGCATTTGCAATGATTCAGGACTAATCAGTAGGAAAATTCATGTAAGGAATTAGTCGTGTTTCTCTAATAAGCTGCTGAAACTTTGTGTCTGACTGAGTTTTAACCCCTTGTGTTAATTCTAAAAAATAAAAAAAAAGATCATTGTAATAAAATATTCCTATATTATTTCTATTGGATTCACCCACCCACTTTATAATGACCTTACTGCACTTTATGTTGATTTTTTTTTTTCCTTCTCCATCCTCATCTCTTAACGACCTCTCTCACATGCAGTTCTGCTGCATCCTACAGCATCCCCCCCTCGACATTGCAGTGCAGAGCTACGAGGAGGGGGTGGGGGGAGGGAGAGGGAGAAGAGAGAGAAAAAAAAAAATCTTCCAGGAAACTTGCGGCACTCATTATTACATCGCTGCTTCGTCCCCGGGTCATTTCCATTCGCACACAGTCGAATCTGCACCAGCAGATTCCTCTCCATCGTCATCCGCAGCAGCAGCATCAGCAGCAGCAGCAGCATCAGCATCAGCATCAGCAGCACCTCCAGCTTCTCCTCACATGAACCCTCACAACGGCGCGGTGCAGCATTTCGGCAAAATTACAGTAGTGTACAGTATGTACTGCCTATTACATCTCTGCACCGACACGCTTAAATACCGCGTGGATAACTCGCACACATGGATTCTGTGTATTTAAAGCGAATCAGCATCTTTTTTTTTTTTTTTT